CACACCACCCATAAGTTCTTTGTTATAAACTTTTGTATTCTTATGGAAATAACAATAAAATATTTTTCTCTGTTTATTTTTTTGGTTTTGGTGATAACTTATAATTTGTAATTGTGTTCTTGCCAAAGTAATTAGTAATAAAAAATATGTTTTAAATAAAGATAGCAAAAACATCCGAGTAATACACTCATTATTTCATTATAATTAATAAACAAAACATAAAAGTATATATTATATTTACAACTTCATTTTTATCGTTTATATTTAAAAAAAAAAAAAACACTACCTAAAAGTAAATTTTAACAATAGAGATTGAACGTTTTTTAGCATTCATATTTGAAAATAATATACTAATTCTAAAAGGAAATAAATTTTATCACGTAGCCGAAGACTACTCAAATTACAGGAAATTTAAATCAAGGAATCGTGCACTGTGGTACTGTGATTTTCACGGTATGTGAACAAAAGTTGCTACTTAATTGAATCAGTGGTGCGTCTGTTGCAACCAGCACAAATTTAATATGCATACACAAAGTATGCTTGCTGATAACCTCTCTTTAGTCGTAAGAATCTGCATAATTTTCAAGCCTAAATAACATATTCTGTGTTACAATTTAAAATGTTGGTATGAAAAAAAAATAATTTACTAAACTCTGAACTGTTAAGGTTACTTCCAATTTTTTAGCTTACCTGGATTCACATCAATTACTAAATTATATATATATATATATATATATATATATATATATATATATATATATATATATATATATATGTCATTCTCAGACCTCTATTATGTTTCTTTAAATCTAAATAGGTCAGGTATTACCATATTTTTTTAGACATCCTATAAAACGGCACATGTTTCCTATCCTTCATCTTTCAAAAAGACAGACAATTTATTCATGAAGGAACTACGCTCCACTAAGCACAGTGCACCCGTTGCAAGACATTGTTACGTTTTCAGTGTGTTTGAAACCATAACATAAAGTCGTGGCATTCGCCCCAGTGGTTTTACGTCAATGGGCCGCATACAAACAGATCAGGTTATGCTCAGATAACCAAGTAGGACAAGGTTCAGACAAGAGTTACGAGTCTTATATAATAGACAATAAACAGGATGTGTTGACAATATTTATTTAAAACATAGCTTTAGATCCGGTGTACATGTTTTGGATACGTCAGTCAAGTTATCCGTGTGTGTGTGGGGGGGGAGGGGTGACATATTTGAATATTTTATTGGATGTAGTTAGTTTATCCTGCTATTTTAGCTTTTGGTTGACACGAATTAAAACATAGATTTATTTAGATATTTTCTCTTTAGATCTTAACCGAACAGCGTTAATCTTTTTAATCCGTTTATGCCCAAGACAAATGGTGAAGATTAAGTAGAATTCATCTGTTTCAGGGAACGCGGCTTATGAAAAGAAAGTCTGGTGAGCACTATGTCCAGCCTCTATTGTTTTACTTAACGTTAGTTAGGTACCCATCAGAGCTGAGTGGACTCAGGGACGGTTTACTTGAGCCCGGATTCAAACTCTAGACTTTCGGTTCAGCGATTTGGCAGTCTAGTTCTCTACCACTAGACCACACCGTCCCACATTCATATAAGATAATTTGATTCGCTGAAATAGTTTCAAAACTTAAATAAAGAAACAAAGTATTTGACTATAATAAGTCAAACAATGAAAAATTACATTGGGGTCAGAATGGTAAGACTGGAGAGCTCGTGATAAAGCTTCAGAAATTCCGCAATCCAATCTAGAAACCGAGAATGATGAAGCACGAGTCAACGGGCCATAGGTTGTTTGGATAAAACCCACTGCCAAACTTCAGTTAAATACCGCGAAAAAGAAAAAAAAGTAACGCTAACGCAACACGCTAACGCAACACGCTAACGCAACACGCTAACACAAACAGAAACACAAACTCAAACAAAAATGCAAACGCAAAAGAAAACACACGCAAACACAAACTCAAAAGCATAAGCGAATCGTACATTAATTTATTTATTAAAATGCAATTAAATAAAAAGATCGTTTAATTGAACCGAATAAAAATAAAACTATGAAACTACATACTGGTAACTTAACTAAAAATACTGACTGTTGATATTGGGGTGGATAGTTGTGGAAACGTTGACTAGTGTTAAGGGATACATTAACTAGTGCTAGGTGAGACATAAGTACAGAGTAGTGGAAACTTGCTTAGAGATAGGTGGACTAATTGTAGTAATAAGGAAGTGCAAATATTTTTGCATAAATCCTCGAAATGTTGACCTTTACTTAGTTTAAAATATTATCTGTAAAACAATCCGTTCATGCCCAAGACACATTGAGCAGATAAAGTAGAGTTCATCAGTTTCAGATACCTCGGCATATGAAAGGATAGTGTTGTCAGCAGCTAACATGAGTTAGGTAACCATCAGAGCTGCGTTGACTGAGATAAATATTTAAATGATTACAACCCTGCTTCGAACTATTACAATGAGTCTCAATAATACATTAATTATTAAATAAAACAAACTTCACAGATCTATGTATCGTATAGAGTGGACAACAAAAGCAAAATATAATTACCTTACCCGTTAAATAAGATAAATATATATACATATATATATATATATATATATATATATATATATATATATATATATATATATATATATATATATATATATATATATATATATATATATATATATACATACATATATATATATATATATATAATATATATATATAATATATATATATATATATATATATATATATATATATATATATATATATATATATATATATATATATATATATTTATTTATTTATTTATTTATTTATTTATTTATTTATTTACAATCACAAAATACATAGTTTAACAATTTAAAATCCTGAAATTATATTTATGTGAAATGTGTTTAAAATTGCTTCAAAATTATATGAGCGAGAATCGTAACAATATCTATGAATATTGTGCTGTTTAGTCAAGCAGACGCTTTTTGTGTTTCAGCTTTAATGAGTACATGACATCAATTGGAAAATGAAAATTGAGTGAGATAGTGCTGATAGCACTCATTCTTCTTCTTCCACCTTCAGATAAACCTATTATTATAGACTCTACTTCAACTGCTCTGTCAATAGTCGATTACCATAAAATTATTGCCGTTGACTTTTTTATATGCAAGTTTTTATATAAAACTTTTTTATAATAACAGTACCGTTTTAAGTGCAAACTATGAGTATAAGTCGATCATCTTTACGCAGTACAGTTGGAATAAAGCTGTATCCTTAGCGATATTGATTGCATTTTTCAGTTGTCCTATATAAAGGTTGGAATGCTCCCATCGCCTGAAAGTTTCCAGGCGGGGTAAAGACAATCACACGTGACAGTCTAAAATGATTCCGGGCGTTATTGTACTGATGCTTATAAGAAGTCTACTAGCTGCTAGTGAATGTATGTATAAACTTAAATTAAGTATAGTTTACTGTATTAACTAGAAAACAATATACAAAAGTAAGTAAATGTTCATATATTAATTTAATGTTATGTTACGTAATTTTGTGATGCATAAAACAAAAAAAATAGTTTATAAATACAACCTGTGTCAGCGAGAAGTTCTAAAAAATAAGTGTCTATTTTATTAGAAAAAGACAAGCGCTATTTCAGTTTTTTTATATTAAAACTTGATTTCAGATGAGATTGTGCAAGACACATTTTCAGTTGTTAACCAAACGGAATGGGCGATGTTGGAACTAAACGAAACATTCAATGATGTGAGACATTTCCCTTGTGCATTACTGTGTCTCAGGTCCAACAAGTCATGTTACAGCTACATGTATAACGAGACATCGAGAGAATGCCACCTGGGTAAGTCAAGATCATGACATTTTTAATCGATACTGTTCGATAGTTTTAAGCAAACATGTGTAATTTAAAATGTATAAATGTAAAATGGTTTTTTATTTTATTTTATCATCAGCGAAAAGTACTGACGAGTATGCTCAGTTTCATTAGCATTGATAGATCGGTATCGTAATTAGAATTTAAGGGAATCAAATTGGGATGACAAAATGAGCAATTATTTTATCCAATTTAAGTAGCCTTAATTGAATGACACAACTGAAAATCCATTTGTCAATCTTAATGCATTACTTATATTCATTTACCAATTCTTATATTGAATTGTATAGGCTCAAAAGTAATCGAATTAAACTTTCGCAATTTAAGTTATAATTTTACGTTATGAAAGATATATATATATATATATATATATATATATATATATATATATATATATATATATATATATATATATATATATATATATACTTACTTCTGTATGTATCTACAGGGTCCTGGATTGTCCCATCTCGTACTTTAAACACCACAGTACAGGGCGAAATCTACTCAGTTGGAAAATTCTGCAAAACAAATAAAACAGTTTCCTTACAACCTGATGGTAATCTATCCATGAGAGACTTGAATTCTTGCTCAGGTAAATTTATCGCTAATTTATATGTGGGTATCTTTTTTTGTCTTTATTTATTTATTTACATTTTCTATATCTAAACTAACAATGGTAAAGGAAAAAAAAACATAATACGCATTTGTTTTGCTTAAAACGCCCCATTAAAGAGTAATAAAACAGTTGCATGGTTTACGGTTCCTCATAGATTTGAAGACACAATACAATATGAAAAAACCATTTTTATTCTATGAAAGGGTTGGGGTATTTATATAGCGTATTAAAATACCATCGTTTTACTTACAATTGTGCGATATCTTTCTGTATCGGAAATCATACATTTATCTGAAAGAAACAATGCTTTCTTCAATAGTGTTCAAATATTCCAAAACATTATTTCCGTAAAAACTTTAAAACTTTTTAAACATAAGAATACAGAAAGTCAGAAACAGCTGCATCATGTGAACGATAAATCACTACTTCCATCAGCGTATTAAATAAAACGTACACATACATTTATGTAATTCGTATACTG